AACCGGTGCCATCAGATTAGAATGGATTTTGGGAGACGATTTTTTTCTTGATCAGTAATAGAAACTTTACTCGAAATATTACGGATTTGAACTCGTTGATGAGGGAGACTGTATGAAGCCCTCATAAAATCGAGGAATCGGTCGAAAAATCATGAAAAATTAAATCGTAAAAAGCCACGAGATTTCATTTAATCATGAAACGTCCTAAGTTTTCTTTAAGTTTGATAAATGAAGGATTATAATTGAAATATCTTCCCATATCACCGGAACAAACCCGCAAATTTTGAATTTTTTATGGCACCTGCAGGACGTATATATCGTCAAAAATGTTTTTAGAAATGCATAATCATGCCCAAAATCTTGATTGAGCCGCAGGATTTTTACTGTATTTTCCGATGGAAAAATACACTATTTTAACACGTTTCCAGTCCACTTAAGTCCAAAATGTGGAAATTTTAAAATGTAAGGAAACTTGTCTCTCCAAGACGCGGAAAAGAAGTCGAAATCTCCCTAAACTTGACTTAATTTAGAACAATACTAGTAAGAAATATCGCAAAGCCAAGAAAAAGTGCAAGTTAATCGTCAAAAGGAGAAAGTGCGGTTACTCTTAGGTAAATGTCAGCGCATTTCTAAGAAATGCAATATGATCATTCAGATGAATGAGAACCAAGTACTCGTAAGCCTCAGCGTCGGTCTGTCGGTCGACGTAAAACGTCGGAGCCGAACTGAAATGCTCGGAGAAAAATGCAACTCACTTGCCGTGGAACTTCCCAAGTTCATAACTTTACCATTCAATTCCATACTTTTTCTCGCGATTCCAGGCCATGAAACTTTCCGGGCACAGAAAATTACTTCCGTGCAAAGTTTTTGAGCAAGACTAATTGTCCGGTGAGCGTCCCCACTGAAGTCCGGTCTCCAGTCAATATTTATTTAACCTATTCGGTTTGACTCATTTCTAACAGTTCGGCATTAAGAGGGTTGTCAAAGGAGGTGAACTCGACTGAGAGGTGGAACTGGGATTTTATGCGATAACTTTCGGCCGGCTTCCTTTAAATACTTCGTCTTTGATTAGCTTTTTTCTTTTTTTTTTTCTTTAAATGAACTTAGCTCTTTGATTTTCCGATCCGATGATCCTGAAACAATTAATGACTGGAGGCATATTTTCTACAAGCCTTGGGCCCTGCCGCTACTACGGACTCTGAATTAACCGTTGGTTGAGTTAGATTTTTGACCGGACTTATTTCTAACTTTTCAGGGAGAAAAAATAGAAATATGTAGAGATGCGCACTCGAATTTTGCCTGAAGTGACCATGAAACGACTTTACTATACCGCATTCGTCGGTCTTAGACTAGAGAAGGTAAGGGCTGCAGCCTACGTTTTGAGACGGCAACATTGTCATACATTTAAACAGTTTAAGCATTATTCGGAAAATTGACAATGTTGTGATAGAAATTAGTAATATTTTACTTCATCGGCTCAGCAGACATCGCTTGAATTAAGTTACCGTGTCAAATAAGCATGCAAACCTTAGTGAATGCCACATCAAAATGCGACGAACACTATTTAACATTTTAACTTTTGGATGCAACTATTCGAGCTCCATGGATGTCCGTGTTGCATACGCACGAAAGTGAAGGGGTTTTGACAGTCCAGGTGCAGGCACTAACCGTTTCACCCACTGCGCAGCGCCAACGGCGGGCTTTACTGCAAGGATACAAAGTAACAAAGCGCTTTCAATTCATCGTTTACACTACAAAAATACATCATGCAAAAATTCATTCGTCTTGCTAGATAACCGTGAAAATATTAGTATCGTATCGTTGTTATTTACATGCCAAAAAATGCCATGATAAATAATGAGAATTGCTGTGTAAATTTCTTTCATTTGTCGTCTCTAGTTAATTCATAGTAAACATAGAAATTGGGCAATCTTAGCAATATCGCACTAAAAGTGTCACTTTATTGCAAAACTAGGAGGCTCTGGTCCCTGGCCGCTACGCGACCCAGCCCCTCGGGGCGCTTCGCGGGTCATAGAGGCCTTTCCCACTTACGGACTTTGTACTCCCCTTCCACACCCCAGCCCATCGACCGTTTTATTCCCCTTCCTCACCCCGTCCATCGAGCGTCTTAAAAATGATTTTATTAGAATAGAGTGGATATGATAAATGTTTCGCATTTTCAGCTCCTAATTGCAAAATGTGGAAAATTTATCGCGATGAAAAATCAGCATCTCTTGTACACCCCATTCTTTCATTTAAAATTAACAAATCAGGGGGAAAAGTGCGTGAACTGACTCAACTCCTCCAAGTGGGCGATTTTTTTCAATCGTCCGTGTCCGTGATGGCTTTCAATGCCAGCCGATGAAAAATACTGCAGTTCGAATTTAGGAAAGTTCTTGGAAGGAGGGCGGCCGCGGCATCTGTGCAAGACACTCTGGAATAGATGACCTGCGATATCTTAGCGTCACCCCTGTTTCCACCTTTGACTTGGTGCTCTCAGCTCCGCACTGTGCTTTGCTCAGGGGGTCGCTCGGGGGGTCACTAAGCCACAGTTCGATTCTGTGTCAGTTCCTGTACGTAACCTTCACTTTCCCCCTTTGCAAGTAAAATTCTGTGCCGCAATAAGTTAAAATCAACTATAGAGAATTGCATTTTTGAGGTGTGAGACCCGCAAGAACAGGATGTCTTCTGTACGAAGGAAGAAGCTTACTACATCTATCATGACAAAAAAAAAAAAAAAAAAAAACTTAAAATAAAAAGTTTTAAAAAAAAACTTTAAGAAAAAACTTAACATTTCGTTTAAAAAACTTTAGAAAAAAAGACCGCAAAAAATAAAATAAAGACATAAAATACCAACCCGAGACGTTTCGCGGTGATTACATCTGCATTCTCAACCGGCAAAAAGGAAAGAAAATTGGAAAGAAACATGGTCTATCATGACACTAGACAAATTTTATTAATAAAAAGATAAATTTATTAAAATTTTATGTACTAACCTCTTCAATGCTGCGGCCCATTCCTCGTCCCGAAAATGCATTCGTTGAATATTCAAGTGTATTTTTTATCACTATCTTTTTACGTCCTCCATAGTACCTTTTCTCAGCTCTCTATTATCTCTGGAAGTAAGTTATCATTAGGATTAGGGATCGAGCTACTTTTTGTAGCCACGGAGGAGCCGGCGGCTCGTCAAGCACTCCGGATTCGTGACCCCATGCTCATACCGCATTTTATATTGATATTTCTCTCTTCTTTAGGGCGTTTGCTCTGCTTTTGGGCTCCAGCCAAATTTTTGCCTCTCTGTTTATTTATTCGCGTCGGTATTCTCAACTGAATACCAGCGGCGCGGCGGTGAAGGTCACATCAGGGGAGGCGTTCCTGCTTATGAAATCGGGGCTATAAAAAATTAGGATCCAGCACTCCGGGAACAATTTTCCTCTTCCCTTTGATAACATTCCGGAAGAACTTATCCCTATTTCAACGAACAATTTTACGGAAGTGTAGTGGTGGTTTCTGAAATGAGAAGGTGTTCGAGTGGTTTTTTTTAGGGATATTCCCGCCATAAATATTGTAACAAAATCAGGAAATCCCTTTAGTGCAGGTCACGTTTACGTGCTTAGCGTAATATTCATCATTCCCTTCGATAACATTCCGAAAGAACTCATCCCTATTTCAACGAAATATTGTACGGAAGTTATGTGATGGTTTCTAAAATGAGGAGTTGTTCGGGTGGTTTTTTTAGGGATATTCCCGTCGTGAAAATTGTAGGTAACAGAAACAGAGGTGGATCCAGCAATTTGGCATTACTGGATTCTCTCCATTTAAATGTATGCTGAATAATCGATTCTTGACGGAGCACTTGGCCCCACCAAGAATCGATACATTTCTACATGTTTAAATGGAGGAAAGACAATGTTGCCAATTTTCAAATTCAACCCGGAAAGCTTTCTCAATGCAGGTCACGTTCACGTGCTTCACCATAATTTTCATCAGTTACGAGGCTTCTCCCAATTTTCTATCAATTTATTTTTGGAAGCACTTGAATCGCGTTCATGACTTATGCGTGAAAGTTATCTTTGCATCCTCTGATATTGGACGTATTTATGCTAAAAGAAACTATGTTGCACGCAAACTTTATGTACATAGTTCCTTTTAGCATAAATACGTCCTATTCTAGAATGCAAGAGCTCGGAAAATTCCGGCGAATTCACCTCAATCATCTCGATATCATATTATCTGCGCTATAATGACGCGTTCTGATACGTGAAGAAAAATTCCATGATTGAATCAATTTGCACTCACAAGTCTCGTGTAAATCCGCAAAACAGATCAAAAACAAATCTAATTCAAACTGATTGCGGTAAACGCACGGGTTGTAAGACAATGATGGATTTTTTTAGCCATCGTGCATCAGCTTTAAGCTGAACTTTTTACGCACGATGGCTAAAAAACTACATCAAAATCTAAATCAGTTTCACAAGTCTCAAAAAGTCTTATAGATTTTTTTCTGACTCTTGAAGTTTTTTTAAAATTAATCATTTTTATCGAAGAACCCTCTACTTACCATACCGTCTTCGTGACATACACGATATACATTATTGCTTTGTTGGTATTTTTTGCGGTCACATGGCGTACCAACAGAACTGAAAAAAAAAGAAAATTGATAAAGGCAAGTTTAGAAAAATGAAATAGGTTTTTTTTATCCCCCTTCCCCGCTATCAATACGCTTCCTCCTTCCCATGACGCTAAGGTACACATTCCAACTACAGTAGTGAGCATCCTGAATTATCACTCTCCAGTTTGATCATTAAAAAATACTGAAAATTTCAATTCAAGCTGAACAAAAGTGTATCAGTGTCTTAAAACTGCCTATTTTTGTCGACCCGCAGCGGACACTTTGCTGTAGAATCCTCTTGGTTTTACACCATGTGTACTGTGTATTTCCATTTATTGTTTTCTTTGTACTCATAATATAATTTTCTCCTTTTATTTTTATGTTTCAGAAAGCTGCCGCAGCCTTGCACATCACCTCGCAAGGTAAGAATCCTTCATTTTTTATTTTTCGAATAAAAATCAAAGCAAAAATTATTTCTATGCTTCTCTGTCATCGGATTTGATCTCCTTCCGTTTTTGAATTTTTGAGTTCAAATACTGGGAATGGGTCCTTTTGTAAGTCTCATATTTTTCGATATTCTCTCGTGTCGTGGCATATTAGCGCATCAACGCAACGCGTCGGTTAAATCGCCTTCAGATCATCGGGTATACGTACCGAGGATGGAGTGCAGTGAAAGTTGCCTATCCTCTAATCGGAAGGCGTTTTGAAGTCTGCAGTGCTCCTGTTGCGCGCCTTGCCCGCCTCCTCGCCCTCGCTGTGTCGCTTCGTAAGCTGCTTTGCGTGTTATCGAGTGTGATCTTGTATGAAAAAACTTACAGTAGAAAATATGCGTAATATGACTGAACCAAGACTGGTAGCAGAATACATTGGCTTCACTGGATTTTATGTTAATCGCCTCGAATGGGGTTTTTCTCTTCTTTCTCGAGGAAACAAAGTTTTCTGAAGGAAATTGAACTATTTACTAAGAATAAGCCGCGCTGAGATAAGGCCAAACTGTGTCACTTCTCACAATCGTTTGAAAAGCTCACATTAATGTCACCTACCATCTTTTCTCCCGCAATCGTCGCTAATCTCGGATCTTTGTTATTTACCTTTCTTGTGAGGATATGGCTAGAACTCGCTGTTGTTGCTTGCAGTTTAAGATGTTTTAGTATTTTATGACCACTAAATATCAAGGTTTCCCAACGAAAATTATTGAAATTCCTACTAAAAAGAATGTACTTGCATGTTTGGCATCTTGTAAATAGGTCGATTATGACGTGTAAGTGGCCAGAGGCATTTTTGTCATTAATTTTCTAAAAAATGATGTTTGATACGGAAACAAAGTTACACTCTAGAAATTGAGCGTTTAAAAAAAACATTATGCGTTGAATTAGTTACGTCAAAACAATGGACGTTACGGTAACGAAAAGTTACGGTCCATTTTCCATTCATAGAAAAATTGGGAATAATGGTATTTGGTAGGAATGCTGACGCCTCTAATACCCATTTACGTTAAAGTCTAAACGAATAAACCGCCACCATGCTTTTTATTCCCTGCTCGGAAGAGAACAATTTCTCTGCTTCTAACTCAATTTTTTCCTTAGGCAAGGCTAATTTCCGCAAGTGAAATTGGTCAAGTCCTAGACTCTCTACAGTTTTCATTTTTTGTTACAACTTTTTCTGAAAATCTACCGGGCCAATTTTAATTATTTTTGCGACCATCGATAGGAGATGGTGCAAAAACGAGTCTTTAAAGAGATTAGTCGAACGGATTTCCGCCAAGTAGAGCTATAGACAAGTGGGAAAGATGGGGTGTGCTCTAGAAAGATGCATAAAAAACAATTTTTAAGTGGGCATAATGCCCTCCGGAGAAATAGAAAAGCGGGATTTTACATCCTGTCAAACGGACCTATGTGCCAACTGAATGCGGCACTCGTGAGCCGTGGGTATGGCAAAAGAGCGTTGTGGACAGGGTTCATGTGTTACTGCTGACCAAGACCAAGAGCGACAACGGAGACGGCTTCGATGCCGCTCACGTCACTGGCGCTTCATAATTCCCATTCATTCGTACGACCCTCAACTAACGAGCACACCCCTTCTTTCCCACCTGTCTCTGGTAGAGTACCTGTATAGCGAGAGTATGGACAGATCGCTTCATGGAGGGCTTAGGGCCCAAAAGTGCAGCCACCCTTCTAACCAACTTCTAACGCACATTCACTGCCAGTCTGTAGATTCCAATTCCAACGAAGATAGATAAGAAAGTACATAAATAAGCGTTCTTTCACAAAAATGAGTAAATTTATGCAAAAACTAAGTCAAATACGTGCTTTATAAACGATGGTTCGTAACAGTTGTATTAATAAATCGCTCTGGATGATTGAAATTCATAGGTTGGCTGCATTTCTGGGCCCTAACTTTATTTGCGGAGGCATTGGTGAAGGCCTGATGGATTTTCGGAGTTTCACATCTGTCTATACTCTCGCTATACAGGTACTCTAGTTTCTGGTTCCGTTTGGCCGAAAAATACAAAGAAATACGTCCATTAACGGGGATCCGCGCCTCAGATAGCGCAAGCGCTCCCATGGGCATGGAGCTGGGCCGCGTAGCGGCCAAGGCGCAACTCCCCTCCCCAGAGCCTCCCCCAGCAATAGACTTAACTAACGGCAAGTCACCCCACAGCCAGTTGAGCCAGTCCATAATTTTCCTCGTTGGTCCGTTTTAAGAATCACCCGATTCAACCAACAGAAACATGATCGCTTCTTTCCTCCTTGCATTCTGAGGTCCTCCTCGTCAATAATCAGTCTGGAGCACTCTTGAGGTTGAGGATGATCGGCGTGCCGGTGGTTTCTCTCCGGAGCCACAGGCCACAGGTAGTTGGGTCGGCAGGTTGGGCTGGTGATGGTGAAGAAGTTGGCCGGTTCCCGTCGTACGGCATGGGAATGGGACGGCATGGCGGGCGGCGTGGCGCAGCGTTCATCGCTCCTGTTCTCGCGCCAAGTTGCATCGTCGCGCGCGGCCAAGCCAGTCATCAGTCTCAGTCTCCGCCAGGACGCGAAACCGCGAGCATCCGCCAGCCGTCGTTTTCCCGCTTTCCCGCCTCGCTGTGCGCCCGACCGAATTCCAGGATTACGCGATTGTGTCAGTGTTTTCCAGCCCGATTCGGAATTAATTTTCGCCACGTTGTCCCAGTCAGGGATCGCTCTGATTGTGAGAAAGCCTTTCCTCGTCGAGGTATCAGTGTTTCCACCATCGTGAGTCGGGATTTTTCCCGCACCTTTGTTCTCGTCGAGATATTCACCGGTGTGTAATTTTGTGATGGAGTTTCTCTCTTTTTGATTGAATATTTAATAATCAGTTGTACAAAGATTCTACCCTGAGGCAAGTGCCGATTAATGAATGTATTTTATGGATGCAATATTTTTTGGGGGGAATCGCCAACGCTGCTCGCTAAATTTAATGAAACTTTGTACCATTTTGAAAACAGTTTTCCTCGTTGAAGCATTTCGGATATTTACCCCCTAACTCAGTGCGTTTCCATCATCGTCATTTTAATTTGTCGCAAGGTGTTGTTTGGACGTCACGAAAATGCTGGATTTCACTCAGCAGTTGAATTTTGAATTTTGTGTTGGATCCGTGTGATAGAACAAGAATACCTTGCAGTGTATAATTTCTTACCCTGTCCAGTGGTTCACTATTTTTCTTTGAACACCTCTTTGCCTTTTTCTACTGCCACGATAATTCTTTGGGGTCCCAAAGCACAACCGACTAATTATATGGACCGCGTTAAGCAGAATGGAACCAAGGTATCCCAGCTATTACCAACTTTAATTGGGCAATTTAACATTTTACATGAAAACGGTTGTGCGGATTTTTGTGCAAATTTCAGTGAATTTTCTGCATAGTACGAAGCAAATTCTTTTAAATTTTCAAAGAAATCCGCACAATCGTTCTCTTGTAAAAAATAAATTGCCCGGTTACATTTGACAACAGCTGATGTGGCTTGGTTCTTTTCTGCTCAGCGCGGTCTATATAGAACTGCCCGTTTGACCATACTTTCTTCATGAAACCACTCGAGTCAATTGACCGATTCCGGCAAAGGTGCATCGTTTGATATCCGAGCGACTAGAGGATAAAAGGTTAAGTATTTGGCGCTGACAATATTTCATAAGTAGCACCGATCACGTGACTTAAGTAAGACTCTGCCAGATACTTTCAACCGTAGAATCTCTCAAAGCTCGTGCAGGTATCACGTCCGATCCGGAATGAGCAAGCACTGCCGCACTATGGTCCCAATCCGCTCGGGAGCGCTCAAAAATCGATATTTATGAAATTGGACGACATTTTTTTTTCAAGTCAAAATTGATAAATATAGTATCTACGGGTCATAAACTACACGTAGTATACCTCAAAAAAATTTCTAGTCACTGAGAAAGTGTCACAAACTGTGCAAATAGTCGGATACGTATTTTCTGACCCGTGAAGTGGCTATTTCTAACAAAGCGTTCGGAGCCTCTCCTGAATCATGAAATGGTCTCTCAGAATTCTTGCTTGTACCATTTTGTAGAGGACTCTAAGAGGATTTTAACGCACTAATTACAATTTTTCTCCGAGGCATTCTGACACATCCCACACAAGGTAGAAGTTGGATACCTATTTTTCATAAAAAAATGCCGATTTTTCCCACGAACTTTCATTTTAAAAAAAAGTCACCAAAGGTCACCTAATGAGACACCTTTAGGGAGCTTCTACACATCCTTGGGAAGCTACAGTAGAAATATTTCGTGCTTTGGTTTGCTTTTTCTCGAGAAATCGAATTTACTAGGTCTCTAAGTCGGTGGCTAAAATAACGGTATTTAGCA